TCTTTCCCTTTTCATCATTAGATTCCAACATTAATAGCTACTGTTTTACTTTCTGGACTCATCTCAGGGAAATGGATTTGTTGCTAGTCCCATATTGGGCTGACCGTGATTTGGATCTTATACAGTGGCCTCCATTTTTACTTGCTAGCAAGGTTTCTATTCTCACCATCTCTTGAAATATTGTTAAATTGTGAATAGAGGATTATGATATTATGATGTTTGGCCATAGATTCCTATAGCATTGGATATGGCAAAAGACAGTAATGGGAAGGACAGAGAGCTCAAGAAGAGGATTGAAAGTGACACCTATATGAAATGTGCTGTTAGGGAGTGCTATGCTTCATTCAAGAATATCATAAAATTCTTGGTTCAGGGAGACCGTGAAAAAGAGTAAGTTTACATATTTGCTTCTGATTTGGATCATAGCTGTGTGCCACCCAGTTTCTTTTACTCAATTTATATTATATCTCTTGGTGTCTCAGGGTTATTGAGATTATATTTGCTGAGGTTGACAAACACATAGAATCAGGTGATTTGATTCAGGAATACAAGATGAGTGCTCTTCCTAGCCTCTATGACCACTTTGTCAAGTTGATCAAATATTTGGTAATTTTAATCCTGTGATACTTCTCTTTTCTTTTGTTGATTATTTATGCGGGACATGAACTGATGTTTATGCTCTTATCTTTTGTAGCTAAACAACAAGGAGGAGGACAGAGATCATGTTGTAATCCTCTTCCAGGACATGCTAGAAGTTGTAACAAGAGACATTATGATGGAGGATTACAATATATCAAGGTTGGCATATAGATAGCACGATATCTTCAATCCTTTAAAATGTCAAAGTGATCCTTATGTATTTGGCCATATCTGTAGCTTGGTAGATTCAACTCATGGTGGCACTTGGCATGGAGGAATGATCCCTCTCGAGCAACAATATCAGCTTTTTGCATCTTCTGGTGCCATCAGATTTCCCATTCAACCAGAAACAGAAGCTTGGAAAGAGAAGGTTGTGTCAAATTGGATAAGAATCTAAGATATCCCAGTCAGATTTACATCAGGCTTCATGTGATATGTAGCTAAACATTCTATGCTTGTATTTTCAGATCAAGCGTCTGTATCTTTTGCTTACTACCAAAGAATCTGCCATGGATGTCCCATCTAACCTAGAAGCAAGGAGGAGGATTTCTTTCTTCTCAAATTCATTATTCATGGACATGCCTGCTGCGCCTAAAGTCCGCAACATGCTTTCTTTCTCGTAAGTGTTTCTAATCATTGTTTAACTCATATGTTTACTCCATATATCCACCAATGTTGCAATTCTATTACTCTAATATTTTATGTTGGTAATTTTCCTTTTTAAACAAAGTAAGATTAAAACTGTTGTATCATGGTATGCATTGTTACATGATCAATCTATTTTCAACTCTTTTTGTTTTCAAACTTTGCTTCTACCAAAGTTGTTTATTGTAACTCTGTTACTGTTATATTTTTTGTTATTATTACAGTGTTTTGACACCGTATTACACTGAAGATGTTCTCTTCTCCTTGCGTGATCTGGAAACACCAAATGAAGATGGTGTCTCGATCCTCTTCTACCTACAAAAGATTTTTCCAGGTTCTTTGTGTTGATAGCTTATCAATTTTTTACCTTAACTTCCTGCATTCACCTGGAATCCGACCTTGATTTACTGGATTAAAATATCTCCAGATGAGTGGAACAATTTTCTTGAGAGGGTGAATTGCATCACTGAAGAGGAACTTAAAGGATCTGATGATTTAGAGGAGGAACTTCGTCTATGGGCTTCATATAGGGGGCAGACTTTGACTAGAACTGGTAATCTATTTTTGTTCATTTAATCCAAGATATATGAGATGGATACTACATTTTTTTTTCCAAATCTTGTTTGTATTCTATCTTACAGTTGTTTATTTTTCTAACTCTTGCAGTTAGAGGAATGATGTACTATAGGAAAGCCTTGGAGCTTCAGGCATTCCTTGACATGGCTAGGCACGAAGGTGATTCTCTCTGTTCTTTATCTTTTGAAGAACAGGCACAAACCACTTTTCATACTTTACAAAATTCACTATTGGTGCTTACACTTTCTGAAAATTGGACTTGCTCAGATTTGATGGAAGGTTACAAGGCAGTAGAATTAAATGCGGAGAATCATTCACGAGGAGAAGAACGGTCATTGTGGGCTCAGTGTCAGGCTGTCGCTGACATGAAATTTACATTTGTTGTGTCATGCCAACAATATGGTATTCATAAACGGTCTGGTGATCCTCGTGCTCAGGATATCTTGCGGCTTATGACGAGGTGTGTGCATCTTTGATTATTTACTACTCGATGTAGCTTTCTAGTTCAAGTGGACTTATTATGGTTTTATGTTCAACTGGCAGATACCCGTCGCTCCGTGTTGCATATATTGATGAGGTTGAAGAGCCAGTGAAAGACAAGTCAAAGAAAGGCAATCAGAAAGTTTATTATTCAGTGCTGGTTAAGGTTCCCAAGTCAACTGATCCTTCTGAGCCTGCACAGAATTTGGACCAGGTAACTGTAGTTACTGTACAAATCTAACAGTTTTCACAGTTGTATTTCTTTTGTGTGATTGATTTATGTCATATATTGAATTTGTGTGGGTTGACTAGAAAATCTTGTAAGAAGTAACACCTCAAAGAAGTTTTAAATTTATCTTCATTTGTCATAGTGAATTGTCTAAATCTCGTTTGTTGTCATAAATCCACAATTTGGTGTACCTGTGCTTGCATGAGAAAGATTACTTTCTACTTTTCATGTTAAATTTAACTTCTCATTTACCACCATTGTCGAGGACTTATTATTTATACCTGAATGTATACATTGAAAGGTTTTTCTGCTTTGCAGGTTATTTATAAGATTAAGCTTCCTGGTCTTGCCATTCTTGGAGAGGGAAAGCCAGAAAACCAAAATCATGCTATCATTTTCTCTCGTGGAGAAGGTTTACAGACAATTGATATGAATCAGGCATGCACAATTTCTATCCTTTGATTCATTGATTTACTTCTCTTCCTAACATTAGTTCCAAATTAAGCTGTTGCCCATAATGTTACTCTATGCAGGACAACTACATGGAGGAGGCTTTAAAGATGAGGAATTTGCTTCAAGAATTTCTTACAAAACATGATGGTGTGAGGCATCCATCTATTCTCGGACTCAGAGAACATATATTTACCGGATCGTGAGTGTTTTGAAAATTTCATTTATCTTAGCCAATTTGGATCTTCTCATTTCTCGTTGGAGTTTGATTTTTTCTGAGAACTCTCGCGGTGTTGCAGCGTTTCCTCCCTCGCTTGGTTCATGTCTAATCAAGAGACTAGTTTTGTCACCATCGGCCAGAGATTATTGGCAAACCCTTTGAAGTAAGTATCTTTACATGATTAACTATGGTGATGATAGCACAGTTGCTAGTAATGATTTTAGGGCTCCGACCAATTATTAGCTGATTTTGTTGCCATGCTAAAAGTTTCTAATGCCTGTGCCTATCTAGGGTTCGTTTTCATTATGGTCATCCAGATGTCTTCGATAGACTGTTTCATCTAACAAGAGGTGGTGTTAGTAAAGCATCCAAAATAATCAACCTCAGTGAAGATATATTTGCTGGTAACGTTTTTCTTTACTGTGAATCAGCTGTCTTTCTTTCATGAACCTCTGTAATCTTGTGGCTGATTGAATGCTAATACTTTGTTATGTGCAGGTTTCAATTCTACACTTCGTGAAGGAAATGTTACCCATCATGAATATATACAAGTTGGTAAAGGGAGAGATGTCGGTTTAAATCAGATCTCTATGTTCGAGGCGAAGATTGCTAATGGAAATGGAGAGCAGACACTGAGCCGAGACATTTACCGGCTTGGACATCGATTTGATTTTTTCCGGATGCTTTCATGTTACTTCACCACAGTTGGCTTTTACTTCAGCACCTTGGTAAGATGCATAAGTAAATAAATTATTCATTTTGTTTTGGAAAATATTGTGGAACTCATTTGGACTGAGCTCTTTCTTTGTGCTGCTTCAACAGATCACTGTTCTAACTGTGTATGTCTTCCTTTACGGGCGTCTCTATCTAGTTCTGAGTGGACTGGAACAAGGATTGAGTACACAAAAAGGAATCCGAGACAATAAACCCCTCCAAGTTGCTCTTGCTTCACAGTCCTTTGTTCAAATTGGTTTTCTGATGGCTTTACCTATGCTTATGGAAATTGGGTTAGAGAGAGGTTTCCGTACTGCCTTGAGTGAATTTGTGCTGATGCAGCTACAATTGGCACCAGTGTTTTTCACGTTTTCTCTCGGTACAAAAACCCACTATTATGGAAGGACTTTACTACATGGAGGTGCGAAGTACAGGTCTACGGGAAGAGGTTTTGTCGTCTTTCACGCAAAGTTTGCTGATAACTACAGGCTCTATTCTCGAAGCCATTTTGTAAAGGGACTTGAGATGATGATGTTGCTCATTGTCTATCAAATTTTCGGGAATTCGTACAGAAGTGCAGTTGCATATATCTTGATCACCATATCTATGTGGTTCATGGTGGGAACTTGGCTTTTTGCTCCTTTCCTCTTCAATCCTTCCGGGTTTGAGTGGCAAAAAATTGTCGATGATTGGACCGACTGGAATAAATGGATAAATAACATCGGAGGTATCGGTGTCCCGGCAGGAAAAAGTTGGGAATCATGGTGGGAGGAGGAGCAGGAACATCTTCGCTTTTCTGGAAAGCGTGGTATAATAGTTGAGATTTTGTTAGCCTTGCGGTTCTTCATCTACCAATATGGGCTTGTTTACCATCTGACGATTACGGAAAAGGCGAAGTCCAAAAGTTTTCTGGTACATGATAACCTTCTAGTATTTCACTCGTCTTCTAACAACCCTTGATTTTCACTAATGAATCTCTTTTTTGTTCTTTTGCTTACCCCCAGGTTTATGGAGTGTCATGGCTGGTGATCTTCGTAATATTGTTTGTGATGAAGGTGGGTTACTTTTAAGTTTTCGTATATATGCTTCAATGATTTCTGTTCTGATTCATGTGATCTTCGTAATATTGTTTGTGTTTGGTTCAGACTGTATCCGTAGGAAGGCGGAAGTTCAGCGCAAGTTTCCAGCTCATGTTCCGGCTGTTGAAGGGATTGATATTCATGACGTTGGTCGCTCTTCTTGTCATTTTGATCACTCTTGCTCACATGACCATTCAAGACATCATCGTTTGTATCCTTGCCTTCACGCCTACTGGTTGGGGAATGCTCCTGGTATGTTTTGCTCTCTCTCTGTTGTTTTTTCCCCCCTAACTTTCTGGCAAGAGAACATCAAATATTATATTATGATGGCGTAAAAAATTCTGGTAGGCTTGAAAAAGCATGCAGAGAGGAAATTTCCTGAAAGCATATCATTTGCTCTGAATTCTGTGTGTTTGCATCCATGGTCAATTATAGGTGAACCATGATTCATATTTTTTTTGCTGCATCTGCAAAAGCTTCTCTTGCCCTCTCTTGTGCTTTCAAGCAAATGGGTTTGGCTTTGTTGTTTGATTCAGACTTCATATGTTGTCTTTTCCGGCTGCACCATATGGGTTCTTGATGTGGTTTTGTTCGGACAGATTGCGCAAGCATGCAAGCCCGTGGTTCAGAGAGCTGGGTTCTGGGGATCGGTCCGTACGCTTGCCCGAGGCTATGAGATAGTGATGGGGCTGTTCCTGTTCACGCCAGTGGCGTTCCTGGCGTGGTTTCCGTTTGTGTCGGAGTTCCAGACCCGGATGCTCTTCAACCAAGCCTTCAGCAGAGGTCTTCAGATCTCTCGTATCCTCGGTGGTCACAGAAAGGATCGTTCCTCTCGCAACAAGGAATGAGATCGTACGGCCATGAACGAACACGGTCCCATCACTTCTTGTAGTAGTAGTATCTAATCTGTTCTGTAGATTTGGCGAGATGCCTTGTTGTAACCATTGCCATGTCTCCCCATGTTATTTGACATACACTGATACATGTGATGTCTTTTTTTTTCCCCCGAAGGAGAACGAAAAAAAATCTAATTTTATCGAGTAAAAAACGTGAACGAGTTTGTCTTTGAATTAATTTTGCTGGAAACATCTAAATTTTATAATATTAAACTGGATTAGAAACTTCGTAAAATAGATGTTCATTAAGCATGGTATATAGGTTCATTTAGGGTGTATATATCACATGCCTTTGTCTTTGTGTATCTTTTTTTCATAAAATAACAACAACAACATGGCCGTATTCCCAAGTTTATTTGGGGTCGGCCGCATGAATCCTTCTTCTCCACTCATTTCAATCACGGGTTAACTCTTTCGGAATCTGCAACATTTCCAAATCGTTTCTAATGACCCGCTCCCAAGTAAGTTTAGGTCTTCCTCGTCCTTTCCTTCTCACCCCTATACCTATAGTCTCCACTTTTCTAACCGGTGCATCAATCGGCATACATTGTACATGACCAAACCATCTTAAACGCCCCTCTCGTACCTTCTCTTCGATACCTATTACTCCTATTTTCTTTCTAATAATCTCATTTCTAATTTTATCCATCATTGTGTGTCCGCACATCCATCTCAACATCCTCATCTCGGCCACACTCATTGCAGACATATGTTGCCCTTTCGCCGCCCAACATTCGCTACCATACAATAATGCGGGTCTTATGGCGGTACGGTAGAATTTTCCTTTCAACCGTAGGGGAACCTTACGATCACAAAGAACTCCTGTGGCTTGTCTCCATTTCATCCAACTCGCTTTTATTCTATGACTAACATCTTCGTCGCAACCTCCATCCTTTTGAAGGATTGACCCAAGATATTTAAAATGCGGATTTTGAGGTATTCATCCTCCTTGCAATTGAACTCCCACATCACTAGGCAACCTGCCACTAAAGTCGCAATGCATGTATTCAGTCTTTGTCCTACTAAGCCTAAAACCTTTAGCCTCTAATGTACTCCTCCATAACTCTAATTGCTCATTTACCCCTTCTCTGGACTCGTCTATTAGCTCGATATCGTCCGCAAACATCATGCACCACGGTACTTCCTTCTGTATATCTCTAGTCAGTTCGTCCATGACTAACGCGAAAAGGTACGGACTTAAAGCGGATCCTTGGTGCAACCCTATCGAGATGGGAAAATCTCTCGTGTCACCCCCTGTTGTTTGGACACTAGTAGTCGCACCGTCATACATATCCTTCAATACTTGTATGTATCTTACCGATACTCTCCTACGCTCTAGCACCCACCATAAAACTTCTCTTGGTACTCGATCGTAAGCTTTTTCGAGATCGATAAATACCGTGTACAAATCTTTCTTCATATCTCGAAATTTCTCCATCAAGTTTCGAATGAGAAAGATTGCCTCCATTGTAGACTTTCCTGGCATAAAACCAAATTGGTTTACGGAAATGGATGTATCGCTACGCAAACGTCGCTCCACGATCCTTTCCCACAACTTCATTGTATGACTGATGAGTTTGATACCTCTATAATTTGTGCAACTCTGGATATTTCCCTTATTTTTAAATATAAGGACTAAAATGCTTTGTCTCCATTCATTTGGCATCTTCTTCGACACTAGGATTTTATTAAACAACCTAGTAAGCCAAATTACTCCGTCTTCTCCTAAACACTTCCATACTTCGATAAGAATATCATCAGTACCACACGCTTTTCCTATTTTCATCTTTCTTAGCGAATCTCTCACCTCTACACATCCAATCCTTCTAGTATAACCGACATTCCTCTCCCTAGTGACGGTCTCTAGTTCTATGTGGTCTGTATCCATACCTTTGTTAAATAGGTCATCGAAGTAGCTTCTCCATCTCTCTTTAATGTCGTCCTCTCTAACTAGGGTATTACCTTCTCTATCTTTGATGCATCTAACCACGTTCAAATCTCTACTTCTCCACTCTCTCGCTCTAGCTATCCTATATATGTCGTTTTCTCCCTCTTTTGTCTCGAGCTTCTCATACATCCTTTCAAAGGCCTTTGCTCTTGCTTGGCTAACGGCTTTCTTCGCCTCCTTCTTAGCCAACTTTCATATGCCTCGTTTGTATTGCATTTGGGCAGTTTTCTATACCAATCCCTTTTGGTCTTTAGGGCTTTTTGTACTTCTTCACTCTACCACCATTTTTCCTTTGTTGGTGGTCCATACCCTTTTGATTTTCCAAGTACCTCTTTAGCAATACGCTTAATACTAGACGACATATCTACCCACATTTCATTTGCTTCTTTATCTTCTCTCCACACCTTCAATTTTAGCATCTCCTTCTCGAATATCTCACGTTTTTGGCCTTTCAAATCCTACCACCTAATTCTTGGTGTATCTCTTTTCCTTGGGCGAGATGTCCTTCTTGATTCTGACATCTAACACTAGTAACGTATGTTGACTAGTCAGAGCTTCACCAGAGATAACTTTGCAGTCCTTACAGAGGGTACGATTCGACTTCCTTGTAAGAAGAAAGTCGATTTGGCTACGGTTTTGTCCACTTTTAAAGGTCACTAAATGTGATTCTCTCTTCTGAAAGTGGATGTTCGCCAATATGAGGTCATACGACATGGCAAAATCTAAGATACTCTTTCATTCTTCGTTTCTACTCCCATAGCCAAACCCTCCATGTACCATTTCATATCCTTGTCGATCCTTTCCGACATGTCCATTTAAATCTCCACCGATAAAAATAGACTCTTCGGACGATACACTTTGCATAAGTTTATCAATGTTCTCCCAAAACTTCTCCTTACATTCGCTATCTAATCCTATTTGCGGGGCATAAGCGCTAATCACATTGATAGCTTCTCCTTCTACAACTAATTTCACTAGTATGATCCTATCGCCTACCCGTTTTACTGCAACCACCGACTCCTTCAGAGACCTATCTAAGATAATGCCTACTCCATTCCTATTTCGTTCTTGACCCGAATACCATAATCTAGAACTCGTATTACCAATCTCCTTACTTTTCTCTCCTACCCACTTTGTCTTCTGGATGCAAGCAATGTTCACTCTCCTTCTACTCATTGTGTCCACAAGTTCCATCAACTTTCCCGTAAGCGATCCAATATTCCAAGTACCTACCCTAACTTTTCGTTCCATCGAGAGTTTCATATCTCCTTTCCTGTAAGTCTGCCTATTACCTCCCCTACTTTGGCTTTTAGTAACATCGACACTTTGGACTAACTTCTTTACCCACATTCGTCCACGATGTGGGAACCCTTGCCTATTTAGCACCACATCCGGACGCCGATATGGCACGTCGCATTCGGGGGACGCCCTACACCCTTGCCTATTTTTCACTACACCCGGGCTCCGATGCAGTGCGTCGTAAGTAGAGGACACCCCAACGTTTATATGATTTGGATTCATTGCATATGAGATATGACATGGTTTTGAGTTTGCTGGTTGCCACCTACCGCAAAACCCTCCTCCTTTATCCGGGCTTGGGACCGGCAAGACACGAGATAACCCATGTCCAGGCGGAGTTACCTTTTTCATAAAATGCGACAGATAATTATAGTTTAATGGTCTATAAAACATTTATTGTGTAATATTTTATTTAGGTCAATTTTGTATCTAGTTAAGAACTTAATGGTCTAATTTTAATGGGTAGATATTAGGTAAAAAAAATTCTTTATGGGCGGAATTAAAGTTGCGGAAAATATTTTTTCTATAAAAAGTTATGCTTCATTTTGTAAGTGTGTTGGTCTAGAATAGAATATTAAATCCCAATATTATTTTTTTTTATAATCGGGTGATCTCAAACCCAAAGACCCAGACTAATCCCGACCCACGCACACGACCCTGCAACACACACGTGGGATGTGAAACACCCGAAGATGGTAGGAGGAGAATCTCCATACTCTGGGTGTTGAACCCACGACCTCGTTTACAGGTAATCCCAATATTTTTAGTATAAGCTGGTAAATATTTATATTGTTCTTACGATTCTAGGTTTATTATTCCGCAATTCAATTTATTATTAATTGGTAAAATTAAATTAAAATTGCGACAGAGAGAAGCAATATGGCCGGTTTAGAATTAGTCCTTAGACTTTCTCGTAAAAACTCTTTATCTTAAGCTTAACCACAATTTGAATTTACACGTGATTTATTTGTATATTTATTTTCCATAAATCTTTAATGGAGTTATTTCCTTAAACAATAAATATCAGTTTTATTATCTTTGTCTATAATACAGTGCAAATTTTTAGTTTCTAAAAAAAAGTGATATCGGACGTGACAAAGGTCATCCGAATCTTTAGTTTATTAGGTTTTTAGTCCAATTTAATATTATAAAATAATACTTAAAAAAAAAAAGATATTGAGTTGACTTGAAAAGAGTCGGCTGCTACATGCCCCCAACTAAGCTATTTTCAGCTCTCTAGCAAATCGTTGACTATGATTAATAGTCTTCACGAAATCTGATAATTAATATATTATACTTTGATGATCGTTCGAGTTTTTATTTAGATAGGAGTATTCATCTGGATTTGTTCGGTTCTGTGGGATGCAATTAAGTTGAAAATCCGATAAAATTATGAATTATCGAAAAAGACAGTACATATATTTTTTTGGAAGGCTATATAATTGTGTATTGGTTTTTGAAAATATTATACTACAATTTTTATAAGATTTTTTTCTTCTTCTTTTTAATCTCTTCGGATTCTGCTTACAAGACTATCCAAATCTGTAGTCAATTTAATCCTTCCGACATAAATTGACAACACATTAAATATCCAATTATTTAATGACAAGCTTGTAAGGGCAATTAATTGAATTGTGGCAATTTAATATTACTTCAAATTAGGTCGGTTTATTCATCATCGCGTATGATCGATTGAAAACCGATTTTATAAGAATCGGACATCAGCTCCAACACCGACTTCGTGGACTACAATCCAATGTAAGGCTATTTGTATTTTTAGTTTTTTTTTTTTGTCAAAAAGTCGGTTTTTAATTAGTTTTTTTTTTGTTGAAGCGGTTTTTAGTTAATTTCGGTTATTAGTAGTGTCATAAAAACCCACGCCATATTGCAATATTTTGGTGAGTTATATTTTTTACTTGAGGTCGTTTATAAACCCATTTGAAATTAGATCAACGGGTTTAGATTTTTTTTAGATAATGCCATTCAATCGCCATTGATAAACTCGACACTTTAGTAGAAGCTGTCACACGAGCAAAAAACCCTCAACTTCTGTTTTTTTTTTTAATTTGGTTTACGAAAAAAAAATCGTGGAGCCTTAACGCACCGGTTAAATTGTTGCCGTTGTGACCTAGAAATCACGGGTTCGAGTCGTGGAAGCAACCTCTACAAGGTAAGGCTTGCCTATAATACATCCTTGTAGTGGGATCCTTTTCTAGACCCCCGGACTGTCCTTTAATAATAATTGAATACTTTATGGTATAGTAAACGTTTTGATAAAACATGCACCGCACGTTGTCTACCAAGCCCTAAAAGAACTGCACATACTCTTCTCCATTTCAGACATTTTCCCACTAAAAAAAAACCCAACAAAAAAAAGGGAAGAAACAACAAACAAAAACCTAATCTCGATGTAACAAAGATTATCCGATTTTCACTTTTATTGTTTTTTTGGTTTTTTTCAAGTTCTTTTGTCTGTTTCGGTGGTGAAAGAAGAAGAGAGAAGGAAGGGCAGAACCATAACAGACTTGTACTTGATCTGTACGTTATTATCTTTTCCATCTTCTGTTTCTTTTCTCGGATTTCTTCGACTGCGCTCTTTGTTTTTATTTATGGTAAAAGGGATTTCGTTTGGTTTTGATAAGAGATTAGAGAGAGAGAGAGTGAAGAGATCGTATTACTGAGAGGAGATTTTTGGCAATGGTACGGACATTAGGACGCAGGCTGAGCTGGTCGAGATCTTTCAGCTTTCGAAAGATGCTCGATGCTCGAAACATCGTCGGGAATTCATCCTTCTCCTCTCACGCAAACGGATCGGGTCTTCCCGAGAAGACGACGAGTGGCAACATTACTATTCAACCTTCGGACCGGAACCCTAATGAGGGCAAGCAAAGTATTACGTCCGGTAATAACGCCACGCCTTATTTCGGACAAAACTTGCCCAATAATGCCTTGTAACATAATTTATACACAAAGGGTTTAAATCCTACTACAAAACTTTAAACTAAGATCGAAACCATATTACATATAAGATCAGAGATATTGATATATATATATATATGTTAATATCAAGAATTTGAAAAGTGTACCTCTGATTAGGCATTAAACTTGGATGTTTCTTTCAGACATGGAAACGATGAAGGAAAAGTTTGCGGTATTGCTTCTGGGAGGAGACATGACTGGCGGTGTAAAAGGTGTCTCCTCCGCTTTCGCCTTATCCAATGCCATCACCAATCTTGCCGGTATATATTGTTTTTCTTTCACTCTTTTTCACTCACACTTCATCATTCGCGACCCGGGCCATCAAATTCGGATATGATTCACTGATATCTACTTTGGTTTTTGTTGTTTTTTCTCCACGCAGCTTCGGTATTTGGGGAGGAGATGAAATTGGAGCCGATGTATCCCGGGACGAAAGCGAGATGGAGGAAAGAAATGGACTGGCTATTATCAGTGTCTGATCACATTGTGCATCTTGTTCCTTCTAAACAAGTGACCAAAAATGGCGGATTCACAGAGGTGAATATATGATCACATTCTTCTGTTTCTCTGTGCGTTACAAGCGTAATTTTCGAAATCACGAGGTTATAATACATATAAACCCTCTATCACCCTATTCACTTCGATTATGTGCAACAACAGAAACACATATATCCAATTTTGGTTGCTTCCTAGTCAAGTAATTCTTCGGATCGATCTGTACAGTTTTGTGTCTTCTCGGCCTTGTTCCTTTGCTTTTAAGTTCTTGGTGTATAGATAGTAATTTTACAACATTTCTTCATTCTCATAGGGATTTTTGGACTGAACGTATCTCGTCTATGCCTTTTTTTTTTTCAGATCATGGTGGCAAAGCAAAGAGACGATCTGCAAATGAACGTTCCAGCCCTCCGTCAGCTTGATTCAGTGCTCATTGTATGTGTAACAAAAACCCCTTCGGCTTAAAACGTATTATACATACGCCAATTCGCTTCGTATTTCTCCGTGGAGTTTCTTATTTTACCGATCGATTCATCCCATCATCAATGAACAGGAAACTCTCGAAAACTTCAAGGACCAGAACGAGTTCTGGTATGCTTCCAGAGATGTCGAGGAAGCGGAAAACGGTAGAGATTGGAGAAGAGATGGGAAATGGTGGGTACCGGTCGCTAGGGTTCCACCAAACGGATTATGTGAGGAGACGAGAAGATGGTTGCATTACCAAAAGGATGCTGTCACGCAAGTTCTGAAAGCGGCCATGGCCATTAACGCTCATGTCTTGTCCGAGATGGAGATCCCTGAGAGCTACGTCGAGTCTCTTCCCAAGGTATTGATCATGTTTCACTTTTTTTTTTAAGCATCTGAAGATTCATAAACCAGAAAAAGTTAATTACAACAGCTAAAATGGTGAAGTTGAATCTGGGTTGCTTCCTGATCAAGTAATCATATCTGTTCCTGCCATTTCTGCAGCTCGTTTTCTCTCTTTCTATAAGTCATGTTTGAGGTTTTTTTCACGGTTTTGATCATTTGGTGTTGGTAGAATGGGAAGACCAGCCTCGGCGACTTCCTCTACAAGAGCATCACAGAAGATTACTTTGATCCGGAGTACTTCCTCTCATCACTCGACCTATCGAACGAGCATAAAATGCTCGATCTGAAGAACAGGATCGAAGCTTCGATCTTGATCTGGAAGAGGAAGATGCACCAGAAAGAGAAAGAGGGCAAATCCTCATGGGGATCGACCGTCAGCTTGGAGAAGAGGGAACTATTCGAAGAACGAGCTGAATCCGTCTTGGTTCTGCTCAAACAACAGTTCCCTGGAATCCCACAGTCCGTGCTCCACGTCTCCAAGATTCAACACAACAAGGCAAGTTCTTTCAAATCTACCCTCTGAGGTTTCATCGTCTAAGTTTTTGGACATATGAACACAACTGAGACGGAAAAAAAAAAGACATGATCAAAACTGCAGTAAGATGGAGGTTTTGGTGATATTCAATGATCTTTAATTGAGTTAAATCTGAAAACTCGGTTAACGTATATCGTATGATGGATTTACAGGATATAGGACAAGCGATTCTGGAAAGCTATTCGAGGATATTAGAGGGTTTGGCTTTCAAGCTTGTGTCAAGGATAGATGATGTTCTTGAAGCAGATCTGTTAGCTCAAAGACAAGTGATGGGAGAAACAGATGGACTGTCGGAAACAGAAACAGATTCTGGATTGTCTTCAGATATCGAAGAACACCCCGACAAGCCAGCCATGGCCGAGACACCGAACTCGAGGAAACTATCAGACTTCATAGGATGGAGACTGACCTCAGAGACAAAGAGACATAGTTCAATGAGCGAAATCGAATGTTACCATGACAAACCATTGTACAAGTCTCCGAAAGCGACCCCCAAGAAATTCTCGTACCTTGCAAAGCTCGAGAACCTGAGAATCCCGACGGAGAGACACTGAGAGAGTGATCAGATTACAAGGGGAAGTTAAAGAAGCGAAATAGAGAGAGAGAGTGTGTGTTCAATGCTTGTGACTGTACATAACAATGTCAGTGATTTGGTTTAGGGGTCTGGACAGAATGTGCTGCGGATTTAGGAGGAGATTTCGGCCGTAGGGGCTTCGTGTTTTTGTGAGCGGCTCGATTGATCGATCAGTCGGGTTTTCTGCGTTTCAGTGTTTGTGAATTGCTTCCGGTTGTTTTGGAGATGGAAGTGTGATTCAGTCTGACAATGTATACACTCTTTTGTTGTTCTGCTGATGAACGTTTTGGTTTTGGTTATGTTCTTTGTTGCTCTCTTACAAACCATAAGCTTTTTTTGACAATTCAATTATATATATATACACACACTCACAGAAGAGGGCAGTGATAGATTGTAATGAAAACATAAATCATAATAGATTTGTTAATCGTAAATCTGCTCGGTTCAATCTGGGTAATTTCAAGGAGGTAATATATTTTTTTTCACAACTTTTTATTATTTAGTAACAAGTTATATAGTTAAGTGGGAATGGTGTTATTACGGAGGAGGATTGGTGGTTGATAGTAACCCAACTGAAGCATAAATCCATTGCTCTTAGTAAAATTTTTGCTTCGGTAAACATATTTATGCGACAAAACGATCTGCTCGACAATGAAAATGTGCTCTTTGTTTGTTATTCGTGTTCAATGCTGAAGTTCCACAGCCGAAACTGCGTTCAAATCGCAGGAGAATTGTAGAAACCCTTTGAAAACGGAAAGGCCGAAAAACTTACGGCAGGGGGAGTAAGTTAGGCGGCGCGGGTGACTGCAGCGTGAATGGCGTCTGCAAGGTGGGGAACTGTCTTCGAACTTAGGCCTGCCATGCTTATCCTCCTGCCATTTTCACATACTCCTTAATTTCAGAAGATGATGATAATAAAATCCGTATGCAAGAACAATATCTACCCATTTGCATCTTTGTCCAGAGTTATGGAATATGATCTTTTGCCTCTGGAACTATCCTTTTGCTCCTACTAATACCAAATTATCTACTAAGGTAAATACCCTCCCTCCTCCGAAACAAAATCAAGTTCTCTATTTTTGGATATTTTGAGAAAAAAACACAAAATGCAGAATCCTCAATGAAATCTAAAAAGCCGCGAATTTTTCATTTGTCCAGACTAAGACGCCTATGATTCCTATGGATATAGATTATAGACGGTGGAAAGAAGAGATCCTCACCCGTCGGATGTCATGTAGATGTGATATTCTTTGGTCATGAAGGCGACCTGCTCAGTGTTCAATCCGGTAAAGGTAAACATCCCAATCTGCTTGATGATGTGACTCCAGTCACCAGGTGTGCCTGTATAAGCATTAGCAACAAAAAAAATACATTGGACAACGGTCAAGAGCAAAAGCCGCAATGAGGACCTTACGGATGGATGGATATCTATTAAAGCACCAAGTAAAGTTTTCAAAAAAGACCATCATGAATGGTTCATGAATGAAACATGAGGAAAAGTAAGGGAAAGAAAAAAGAATGAAGCTAAACCTCTAGCTTGAAGAGCATCATACAACTGGTGGCGCATGCTGATAATGCGGTCAGCCATTCCTTTCAGCTCAATGGTCCATTCATTGTACATTTCGCTGCAAATGTGTATATGCAGAAACATTAATCAACTTGTAACATCTATAAGTGTGGACTTTGATTCTACAGTGTGTTTTTGTGAATTATTAGAGCATCCATGATGAAAGCTCTATATTGTGACATGCAGACTTCTTTTTCTTCCAAAAAAAAATCATATATAACTAAATGAAACAATGCAAGTGGTGATGTAAACATTTACCAATACAGTATCTATGATTCATGGTAAGTGTTATATGCAGCATGGATTGTCAAATGAAGCATGGATTTCTTAATTTCGCCAAGGTCAATACAACTTGCTGCCACCAAAAATCTATTACCTGTTTTTCAATATGGTTGCGACAATAGATGCGCCATGAATAGGTGGATTAGAATACATGGGCCTGACAACAAGTTTCACCTGGCTCTCAACCTTGCTAGCCACATCTGCCGACTTGCAGACCTTCACATCAGATCAAGAAGATTAGATAGTTTATGAATGCTTCCATTTTTAAGGCTTCAGTAATAAATATAGAGATGTTTGATGGTAGCATAATAATATTTTGGAATTAGTACTTGAGCTACCGCAGCAGAGAAAAAGATCAAAGATTTCTTGTTAAAACTTATGAAGCAATAACCACACATTTCCTAACTATAAAACATTTTTACATCTGGGACAAAACTATTTTATAGATCATGTATTTACAGTAATATTAAACGAGAAAATGAGGATGGTGAGGCATTAACAAGAAACAAACATGCGGAACACTAGCATCATAATGATAGAAGCACACAGCAAGTGCAGAGGTTCAGTTCCTTACAATGCTAAGAGCACCAACACGCTCCCCGTAAAGACCCAAGTTTTTGGCATAACTCTGAGCTATCAAACATTCACCGCCATCAGCAACAAACATGCGGACTGGATGTGCATCTGCATCAAGGCTACCACTTGCAAAACCCTAGAATATGAAAAAGAAAGGTCATGCCAATGCGGTATGAATTCATTCTACTGATCTAAAATTGAATAAATTGATTGGAAAAGGACAAAAATCTATTTCTGCTAAATCTGAGTAGTCAGGAATCTCCTATGCTTCTTTAATCAGTATGACAAGTACCTAAAATCCTGCTAAATATGAGTAATCAGGAATCCCCTATGCTTCTTTAATCAGAAAATTTGAACTACAAATTTGCAGTCGCTTGATAATTTTTGTCGAGGCTATGAAAAGATGAAGGAACGGGTGGCATTCATTTGACCTTGATCTTTATGACTGAAAAAACAGAATTAGACTAGATCCACTTGAACCTGCTGAGAGACATAAATAAATAAAGGCTACACTATAGAATTACCTGATATGCACTGTCAAAGAAGGGTAACAATTGCTTAGATCTGATTAACTGTCGGATATGCTCCCACTGCTCAGTGGTTGGATCAACTCCAGTGGGGTTGTGCGCACATGCATGAAGTAAAACTATAGCTCCTGATGGTGCAGCACCCAGATCCTCAAGCAAGCCTGTAATACAGAAGGATACAACATGAGCAGTTTTCTATGTAATTATGTCGAGTTACAGCAATCAAAAGATTCATTTTTTTCCAATCAAATATGAAAGATAGAAATATGATTTCCACAGGAATGTTGTTAAAAGCTATGTTTGTGATTATATCAATGATAACTTGGGAAAATGTTGTTGGGTGGGTAACTAAAAAGTTAAAGAGCAAAGGGTAGGAGGTAAGCAAGGAAAAGCTTCTCAGAATTAAGTGAAAAATTTAGACCATATATAACTGAAATATCAACCTTGGAAGTCAAGTCCACGGGATGCCGGATCATAGTAACGGTAATATTCCACAGACAAGCCGGCCGAAGTGAATACTTTCGGATGATTCCCCCAAGTTGGTTTTGGAATGTAAATAATATGCTGAAGAACAAGATTAACAGTTAGCTACTGTTCTTTGATTTGTCTAGCTCAATGACATTAAATCAAATCCAAAACAAAGCTAGAAGAAGTTTACTTGGTGGTAGTGTTTTGCAAGAAACTCGCCTCCAACTCTGAGTGAACCAGTACCAGACAAGCACTGGATGGTTGTAATTCTATTCTCTTGAATCGCCGGACTGCCCAGCAGACAAGAAAAAGTTTACAGGATAAAAATTAGCAATGTCTTATTATAAAGATTTTAGCAAAGATCATACAAGCACAGGGCAGCCCAGTGCACAAAGCGTCTCCGTTGAGTGGAGGTCCGGGGAAGGGTCCCACCACAAGGGATCATAAATTAACAGCAGTAGATCATAAATTAAGCATTCCACAAAGTTAATCATAAAACTTAAGAGGCTGCAAAAATTAGTCTCGGATCCATTACCTGTCAGCACCCAAGATGAGCTTGGCAGACAATTTGTTGAAATCAGCAAGCCCAACAATGGAAAGATATTCCTTGACCCGGGACCTAATAGAAACAGAAAATCCACGGATTAACAAACATCATATACAAAAACATAACTGTGAACAAAAACCTTCTTGTCTCTGTTTTAACTTACGGGTCATTTACTAACTGTTGCTCTGCCCGTCTCACGACATCAAGAACAAGGGGTTTCCCTTCCTTTAGCAAGCAAAGGAAGAACAAACAGAGCAAACTTGAGCACAAAAAAGAGCGTTGAAGCATTAAAATAACAATGATTTATAGGCAAATCAGAAATTACCTCAGTTCGGTAGGCACCAACACCCAAGTTCAGCTTAACCGGGCTTGGATCTTTGTTATAAGCAACAGTAACCTGGACTCAAGAATCAAGATAACAAATTAACAACATCATTCCGAAACACCGTAATTAAATAACGAAAGCATAAAGAATAACAAATGTTATACGCAATAGAAGGAGATTCAGTGCAACTCGAAGGATCGCACACAAGGAAAATAAGATCGAATGGTTTGATCACAAGAAATGAGAAGATAATTATAGTCCGAATCAATCATCGGTTAAAATCCCCAATTTAAAGTTTTAGGAAAATAAAACTTAGTACAAATAATATTTGATCATTGATCAGATTTCTTTCTACTTCCATAAACTAAATAAACGTTCTCCTAATCAGATAAATCTATCCACGAGCCCCAAAACTCCTCGTCATGGTCTCTTAAAGCGGCAAAACGGAAACAAACAAAATAGTTCATCAATAGAATAGGCGGCAACATTAGCGATGCGTCATACATATGATGAGAGAGAGAAGTAGAAGATTGAGCGAGCGTGGATCAAAGAATCAGTTTGCATAGAGGGAGAGATATTGGGAAATGCTTAAGATCTCAATCATAAAAATTACAGTAAACCCAGTCAGGTTAACAAAATCTAAGCAAAGATTTTTTTTTAGTAAAGCTATTCTCAACACACAAATAGCAAACATCAAGAACACTGGCCCACGTAACCACCTATAAATCAGCAGAAATCAATGCTTCCAGATCGTGGATCATCGATCAAAACGTCGAATCTAAATACCCAGCGTCAAAGAAGACTTGCATATCAATTAACGATTCAGCAAACACGACCTCCACACAGATATTTGATCATCGATCAGCTTCCGAAAAATTAATGCACAGAATCGCATGCAATTTGCAAACAAAACCATTGCACAATCAGATCACACCGTTCAAAAACGGGAAATGGACCGAAGCAGCGCAAACTAGAAACGCATCGAAAAGAAAAAAAAGTAACAATGGACGAGAGATTGATCAAAGGCACAAAGTAAAGGATGAGAGGATGATACATACACCGAGGATGGGATCTTCGGGAGCAGTAACAACGTTAGCGAAGACTGAATCCATGAGAGAGGACGAGAGAGAAATTTCGGACGGGGAAGAAGAACGAGAGAGATATTTGTAAAACAAAATGTCTACTTTTTCATACTTTACATAGAGAATATTAAACGGTGGGCCAGTTTCAGTTTTGCGTGTCAATGGGCGCAGTTGTATTCCTTTCCTTTACTTTTTTTTTCTTCAGGGAGAATAGTTTAAAAAATCATTAACTTAAAAAAATAACATATAGATACGTGAAATTTGAAATTTCTATAAAGATATACAAACTTTAAAAAATTGGCATAAATTTTCACAAAAAACAATTTTTTTCATAAAAAATATAGGTTTACAACAATATTTACAAAGTTAATATATTTTTTTATAGAGATTAAGTTCGTAAATTTATATACGGAAACTTCGAAAAGTTCATGTTGTTAGCCGATTCTCATTTTTTTTTCATTTTCTTTGTACGGGGGTTGGCGATTTGACATAGTTTTTTTAATAACGGATTTGACATAGTATATAATTATATTTGAATTAAATGTTATATAAATAATCATGATATTTCAAAATTTTGAATAGTAAAAAGATTCAATTTTTTTAGAAAATATATTTTTATAAGAAAAGCAAATTCAGATAGAAATTGAATCACATATAATTTAATTAAAAAAAATCTAATAACTAGAATTTAAAAAAAAAAACTAAATTTAACCGAACTCCAAAATACCTACCACTGTATTTTAAAAAGTGATAGGTTTATCATCTAGTGTGTTTCCGACTTAGAGATTAAATAAACCACAATAAATAAAATAGATCCATAGCAAGTAATAAATGTAAATGAATAAGCTGAATCCGGTTTTGCGAGTGGGACTCAAAACTGTGGTAGTAAAACATTGGCCCATTTCGTATGAGATTAAATTGTAAAAAATTAAGCATCACTTGATCCAACAAAAACAAATCCGACCTGCCGGAATCGAACCAGCGACCTAAGGATTTTTCTGCGTCAACTACAGTCCTCCGCTCTACCAACTGAGCTAAGGTCGGTGTTCAATGATATTTATCCTTTATATACTACACTTTAAAACCACCACCGTATTTCACATCTATAATCAATCACTAATAATTCGAGTGGAACTATAACTCAAAAAATGTGAACTTCCAGGACTAAATGTATACGAACTGAATAATTAACACAAACCGGCATCTACGGTCTCTGTCTTAGCTCTTCCAAATGATTTTGAAACTCAACATGAATAAGTATGACATTTGTACACCACCATCTCCAGCCATAGATAGACACATACAAAAGAAAATGAAAAAGAAGGCTAACGTGAACGGCAGGATTCGAACCTGCGCGGGCAGAGCCCACATGATTTCTAGTCATGCCCGATAACCACTCCGGCACGTCCACTTTATTCTTCAACCGCGATAACATAAATCCTTAGTTTATAATATTTTTAATTTGCTTTCTGACTTTTAAACTGTCTTTGGATGGTATATTTCCGCAAACACGAAGAAAACGTTAGCTTTTAAACATGTTGAAAATTAATTCATCTTTTGAATATCTGGATTTTTATTTTCTATTTTCTCCAACTTGAAATAGAGTGGTATTAAAAGAACCCTTTTTAATGTGGTTTTGTCCAATACTAATATTTCGTGTGTAATCGAAAAGAAGAGAAAAAAAAAAGCCACTGTAAGCCATACACTCTGAAAATAGACGTGAATAACAGTTTTCTTGTCGGCATGGAAAAAAGGTTCTGGACCTCTGGTTAATGCGCGGGTCATAATATCTAACTAAATATCTAGGTATTTCTTTTTATAAAATGTTTTACAAGTTGAATCATGAATATGGGCCTAATCGCCTTTGTTTAGGATCAATTTGATCCAAAAACAAGTTTAATTCAACAACATTGCAGCTGTGCTTTACCACATACACAACTAAAGAATTTTATTTACAGTTTAATAATGTTAGAAACTCGTACATGCCCATCTTATTGCATCCAAACTCAAAAATCAAATCATAAACAGATAAATTTACAGATTGTTCATTCCTTCACCTGGCTGTCCTTTCCCTCTCCGGGTTCGAGGTCTGCTCGCTGCTCGAACCCGATGGATACGGAGGATAGAAGTCACTGCTCTGGCCGCTATACTCGCTGCTCGTGCCGCCAAAGGCCATCTTCCTGAACCTACTCAAGTCCTCGTTGTACTTCACGTTGTCGTAATCCGTGCTCTCCGAGCTATAAGCCGAGCTGTGTCCCGGTTTCACCCCTTCGCTCAAGTTGTTCAGCGACATCTCTCCTTCTAACGCCCTCACTATCTGGGCTTGACAAACGACAAATAGTTATAAAGTTATGAAGAGTTTCACTTTGTATATCAATGTGATTCCTATTTGGTTACATACTAGTAGTGTCTATGACCCGAATTCTCAGCCATGTCTATAGCCCTTATATGATACTCTTATCCAACCAAACAAAAAATAAGCTTTTCGGACCGCACCTGGCTCATGCGTGGGCGACGCCTAGCAGAATGACGCACACAAGCGGCTGCACAAGCCACCATACGGGCCATCTCTTCACGATCATATTCCTCCATTCTTGGATCAGTCAAAGCCTCAAACTTTCGGTCTTCTTGGGCTCGTGTAAGCAGCGGCCTTGCCTATACACAGTAACCGTACGAAAAAGGGTATGGATTTAGCTAAAATGGGTACCAAAATTCAGAGGTGATGGTGATGAAAGTTTTGTAATTTTACCCAATCAACAAGGCTCTCATCCATATATGTGCTGGTTGTATCGACGGGTTTGCGGCCAGTTATCAGCTCTAGAAGGACGACCCCGAAAGAGAATACATCCGATTTATTCGTGAGTTTCCCGCTTTGAGCATATTCTGGAGCCAAATATCTGTAAAAAGCAACAGGCAATGAACCATTTTTACCCGAAAATATCCAGAAACGCCATTAGTGTTATGACGAGAGAGTAAGCAACTCCTACCCGAAAGTTCCCATAACGCGTGTCGAGACATGTGTATCGACGTCGGAAGTAAGTTTTGCTAAGCCGAAATCCGCAACCTGGGAACAGAACAATATGCTTCAGCATCCTATAACCGAATCTTTCGGCGAAACATCATGCAAAGAGTTCATTTTAACATCTCGAAATTGTAATAGCCGATACCTTTGCCTCGAACTTGAAGTCCAAAAGTATGTTAGCCGCCTTAATGTCACGGTGAATGATCTTCGGTTGACCTACACGACATTATCACATACAAACATTAGCTTGTTATGACTACATTATTCACATACTTGTAGGTATAAACATCAAAGAATGGAAGAAAAACTTGCAGTCTTCGTGAAGATAAGCAAGCCCTTTGGCGGAGCCGATGGCGATTTTCAGTCTGTTAGACCATTCCAGTGTCGGCCGTCCATTCCCTGGTTCGATAACGATAAATCTCCATAACCAAAAGTGAATTTCTAGATCAATGGGAAGAAAAATAGCGAAAGAGAGAGCTTACCGTGCAAATGAAACTGCAAAGTATTGTTGGGGACAAACTCATATACGAGAATTCGTTGAGTCCCCGTGACACAGTATCCGACCAGCGAGACGAGATGCCTATGATGAACCCTACTTATGATTTCGACTTCGGCTTGAAACTCCCTCTCGCCTTGTCCGCTTCCCGCTTTCAGCTGCTTCACGGCCACTTCTTTACCATTTGGTAGAACCCCTTTGTGCACGTACCCGAACCCACCTTGTCCTAAGAGGTTAGCATCCGAAAACCCGTTTGTGGCTCTTGCAAGTTCCTCGTACGTGAAATTATTCGTCGACAGTCCTAAAACGAGTCCAGGGGAAGGCGGTGGAAGTGGAGATGCTGAATAGTTCGAGGTAGAGCCTCCGCTACTGCTTGTTAGGCCCAACGGAGATTGCAACGGCCTCGGTGAGCCATTGTGTTGCTGCTGCTGCCATAATTGTTGAACATTATGTGCTCCATCTGAAAGATAACAGACCAAAACCAAATCTGAAACTGGCAATGTCTGAAAACTACACTATGATCAATAACCTTAACACCTGTGTTTTGTTTCATCTTTGATCTTATTGAGACAACAGGTTCAAACCCACATCACTAAATCAAGAAACAATAAGTTCTGTTATCAATCTTGGGTTTGCTTTCTTGAAATCAAAAGTCTGAAGCTATTCTGAATTCTAAATTCCTCGCCGGAAAGTTATTACCTTTTGGCCCTGACGATGGCGGCGGCGGCGCGTAGTAACCAACTTCGTCATCTCTTCTTCTTCTCTTTCTCTTCCTAAAACAGAGGAACAACAAAGTCAACGCCACGAGTACCGCGGCTCCGGCGACGGCGACCGCCACCACCACCCCCGTAGACACTCCGCCGCCGCCGGGACTGTTCGGGGGACTCCCATTTCTTGG